CAAAACACTAGTAGCTTTGGCAAAAACCCAGAGTTATTCAGTGGCACCTGATCAATGTTGCTGGAAGATAAATTTCAGAACCGCTTGAGTCACATGAATAGCTGAGTTTTGATGGAATCAGATTTATTGTCATTGCACATGCCACAAGTTCACAAGTACAAGTACAGACTGTGTGTTTGTGCATCTCTGCTTAGATTAAGACAAACGGAGGCTTTGTGCTCGCTGCAGTTTTCAATCTGGCCCAATTTCTGCAGAAATGTGCAGAGAAACAAAAAACACTGAAAACTGATATGCTTACTGTAAAAAGCAGCTTCTCTGCCTGTAACACATCCACGATCTGTATGTTGTCCATCTGATTTTTCAAGTTTCACTCTATTGGTGAACACTGATGGTAGCAAAATCCACTTTTTGAGTATTTTTGGGGGAAGCTGAAGTCCTTTTAGTTGCAGATACTAGAATTTATTATTTCTATGCACTACATATATCATAACTCTAACAACAATAAACTGTAAAGATGTGCTTTGGAAACTGGTTTGGTACAGAAATGCAGACAAACGTTTAAAAAAAAAAAAGAAGAACTTGTACTATCTTTATCAACTAAAAATACATATTGATGTTATTTTTTACCACAGGTTGAGTGCCATCCCTATTTCACTCAGCCAAAGTTGCTTGAATATTGCCGGCAGAAAGATATCGTCATCGTGGGTTACAGCCCCCTGGGGACATCTAGAGACGCATCCTGGTAATGGACAGAAATAAGCCGGTCTATCACATTCAGTTAATGCCTAACTAACTAAAGACACAACGTTCTTAAGGTAGTCTGTTGCGTCACAGTGAAAAACACTAACCTTTTGAACAGGGTCAACCTGAAATGCCCCCCATTGTTGGAGGATGAGCTGCTGGCGTCAGTTGCCAGGAAGTATAACAAGACCACAGCTCAGGTGTGCCTGAGGTTCAACGTGCAGAGAGGAGTGGTGGTCATCCCCAAGAGCTTCAACCCTACTCGCATTAGGGAGAACTTTGAGGTGTGTTTGTGTTGCATCTGCTTTAATCCAAATTCCTATGTGTAGCCACCTTGACATATGAAACACGTTGTCACTGATATTCCCAGATATTCGACTTCTCTCTCTCCGACGCTGAGATGAAGGCGATTGAGGGGCTGAACAAGAACATTCGCTTTGTGGAGCTTCTCATGTGAGCAAATTCCAGCCTCTGTGATGTTTTATTTCTCCAATAAGCACATAATTATTAATTTCCTCTGCTGACTCCACAGGTGGTCTGATCACCCGGAGTACCCGTTTCATGATGACTACTAGACCTCATCGATATCAAGACTTAGCAATTGTTCTTGTTTTTACAACATTATGACTTTAACTAAGAAGTAGTTTTACAACAACTTTTATTTACACTACATTTTATGGCATGTTTAACATGTTCAACTATTTCCCTGAGGTTTACACCGAAGGGATCAATAAAGTTTTATTCTATTCTATTCTTATATATACTTTATTACCCTGTACTTTGTTAAGAACGCAATGGTGATTATTTTAACAAAGTCCGTCTGTGTCCGTACTAACTAGATTTCTAAGCCCCAAAAAAATAAAACTAATAATAAATAAATAAAACTGCTTGTAATGTGTGAGTTTTTTTTTAAATTGCACTTTCATCACAAGACTTGTGAGGCATTTAAAGACAAATGGAAAACAGAGAACTTGACCTCACATTTCTGGACATTTTTTCTATGGCAGGTGGGCCACTGTAAACCTGAATTATTAGCGGCAACAAAACTGATCATTGTTATTCTGTCAAACTAATATTTCTAAATGTGGAATGTGCAACAAGCTCTTCATGTTGAAACTGTATTTGCCAGTTTACATACATCTATAGCTGCTTTTATCTGAATCGAACAGTTACAACATGCAAATATACAGGACTTGATGTCAGTGGTAGAATTAAAAGTGTCCATATGAAACTTTAATGACTTCTGTAGAATGATTGTGATCTAAATAATGGAGTATAATCTTTAAAATATAACCCTCGTGATTAAAATCAAGTCAGTCTGAAGCACTGGTAACATTTCAGTCACAATGTAGGCGTTGCAATCACATATTATTAAGTGGAAACTGCATTATTTGAGCTGAATCGGTCGTTTATGGCTGTTTTAATCAGAGAAAAGGCTGGATTGGTTATGATCTAAGACAGGGGTGTTGAATCCTGGTCCTCGAGGGCCGCAATCCTGCATGTTTTAGATGTTTCCCTCGTCCAACACACCTGATTCAAATGATCAGCTCATCATCAAGCTCTGCAGAAGCCCGATAACGATCCTGATCATTTGAATCAGGTGTGTTGGAAGAGGGAAGCATCTAAAACATGCAGGATTGCGGCCCTCGAGGACCAGGATTCGACACCCGTGATCTAAGGCATAGAGCAGGCAAAATAATGCCGATGAGGATATTGCGTCCATCAGGGTTTGGCAAGTAATTACTGATTGCACAACGGCTTTGGAACTTTAAAGGTGCAGCCATTGAAAATGTGTGTGGCAATAAAAAACAGAACAGACAAAATAAATCTGTTTTTAAAAAAAAAAAAAAAAGATTGCAAACATTTTTAGTGTTGCTCAAATGTGGCATCTAGATAGAAGTCTTTTCAGTATAGGCCACTAATGCGACCACTCATTAGCATTGGGATGCTTAATTTACACCTTCAATTCATTTACTCACTTTAATTTTACCAATGTAGCATTTAACAGAAATGTCCTGCTGTATTTCAAAAACAAAACAAGAGCTATAAATCATAAAAGGGTAGCAGAAGAATTACGATCAAACACATTAAATTCAGACACTCAAGGCCTTTTCAGAAACACATCAGTGTGTGTTGGCTTGTGCCGTCTTTAAAGTGAGGCAACATAAAGAAACGGATAAAAACTATAATTGGAAACATCACAGGTGTGCAACACTGAATGCCTGCACAGGTTTCTCTCTCTGGCCTCCGGGGGAAACACAGATCAAATACAACACTGGAAATACTAAACCAAGGCTTTCTCACATAACCACTTTCTTATGGAACAAGATAAAACAGGATAAAATCTACATTAGATTTGTCAGCAAGACAAAACCACAATGAAAGATGCATTGTCAGTATACAGTTTCTTCAATGAAGAAAGGGGTTAAGGGTCCTTTAAAGTGGGGAAAAAAAGTTTTGGCAGCTTAAGGAAATTAAAAAAAACAAAAAACAAAAACACAAAAACGTGTCTGGTACATTCTGTTTCAAACCGCTGTAACAATGCGAATTCGGAAGTAGAAAAACATTCCTGAGTGTCCCTGAAGGCAGCATAACAGCTCTCTCCACCTTGCTAGTCGTAGCTAGCACGTCGGCTAATGCGGCTACCACACCTACAGACGACGTTAAATTACACGGAAAGTCATCACAGGCGAAACAAAACGGAGATAACGCTGCCTTTTTTCCACGGGAATCCGTTTCTTCTACTTAAACCACGACGGACGGCCGCGCTCGACCGACTTCGCCAGCTAACGTCAATGTTAGCTGCGCAACGCACGGCTAAGCTGATTTTTTAGCCCCGCAAATTAGCCGTGTGCTAGTTTTCCAAGTGCTCCAATGAATGGGTGCCGATGCGCGGAGTGAAGACATCAGTCAACAATGTACGCTCGCCGCTAGCCGCCTCCTTGTTGTGGTCCGTCTTGACTGGCACCGGCAGAAGTAGACTGGAGTTTATTTTTGGGGAGGAGGAAAGCCTGACGAGCGAGCTAGCGAATATTATGGGACTTAGCTAACTTTGTTGGAAATGCATCATCACGGAGAAATCATGCACCGCTCGGGAACACAGACAACAGCGACGTTAGCTTGCGTAACCTAATATCGCAGCTGTTTGGGTTTTTTTTTTTTTTTTTTTAAAGAGTGCTTTGTTGAACTTCTTTCTAAATCCCGCGGGCCGAGTTTTGGCCGAGAGTTGATTTTTTTTGTTTTTGCGGGGAAGGAATGGAGCCACATCGGACTGACCCTGCCCTCCGTCCCAGGTAGGGGAGCAGAGCGCCGGAGACTCCCCGACCTGGCCTGGCCCGGCCCGCTGTTTACGAATGATGGGAGCTCATCCATCGGTAGTGGATTCCTTGTTGTTTTTTTCACTTTCCCCGTCATTGAAGTGACTTGTTATTTAGCAGATTTTTATTGTTCTTTTTTTTGAAAAAGAAAGGATCATGATGGACGCGGAGGAAGTTCCCCAAGAAGAAAATCATCGATAATAATAATAACAATCATGATGGACTGTTGAGCTCAACTCTGCGCTTTCGATCACATATTATCTGTAAAGACTGAAACACTTCGACATGTCTGCTTTCGCTGAGTTCGTCCCCCCTCCTGAATGCCCGGTGTTTGAGCCGAGTTGGGAGGATTTCTCGGATCCTTTAGGATTCATCAACAAGATCCGACCCATTGCAGAGAAAACGGGCATCTGCAAGATCCGACCCCCCGAGGTAAACCCACATATTTCAAACACCGGAGGAATGAGTGGATTAAATGCTCCTGGTTTCACTTTGGGCCTGCGTGGATTTTTTTTTTTTTTTTGCAGAAAAAAAAAAAAGGCAACCGACGTTACTAGTTGCCATTACTCTAATAGAGGTCAAAGAAGGCTTAATTTCCGTGCAAGCAGCTGCACACACTCGGTTTTGTTCTTGTGTTACCTTTGTTCTGCTGGAAAAGTTCTTACAAGGAGAACTAGATCAAACAGCTGTGGTTATTATTCCTTTGTTTTTGTTTTCCTGATGGCTAGCTAAGTTCCAGTACAATGGTGGTACCACGTTAGCTACCAAGATGCGACATTGGGCCACATGCAGGCCTGTAGCTGCTGTCACACCACAGATCCATATTTATGCTGAATTTTTATGTCATATAGATACACAAGCAAGCATTTGAATACGTTTTCTAGACACTTGGATTGTCTATGTGGCCAACAGGAATAGCTCTGCTTCAGAATCAAATAGCAACAGTAGCTTCAACAAGGCTGTTTCTTATCATTTATACAAAGTTTTCCATGAAAAAAAAAATGCTCAGATAGTTTTTAATCAGTAGAATTAGTGCTACTGGATATTTTGGTGTGTGTGTTCTTGCTCTCAGTTCCTCATTGCTAGAGTGGATTTGGGAATGTTTCTATTTTTCTTGTCTGTCAGGACTGGCAGCCTCCCTTCGCCTGTGATGTTCGCAACTTCCGCTTCACTCCTCGAGTACAAAGACTGAATGAACTTGAGGTGAGTTTTCCCAAAAGATGCATCCTGCCGCCGTGAAAAACGAACACAGAGGAAAGTTGTGTTTCAAGCATTGCTTCATGAGAGAGAAAAATCTGATCATCAGTGTGTAGAAGTTTTGAATGGGAGAAACACAGTTCACATATACAGGGCAGCAAGGTGTGTTTTTAATTAACTCGTTAATGCAGCTTGGCTAATAGTCGAGTATGCAGTCGTGCCCTTTTCAGACATGGATAAAACTGGATCTTGGCAGTGACATGGGATATTTGAAAACACTGACCAAGACTGGCAACTCTAATTTCATTGTGTTTGATAGAATGTATTTTATGCAATGACAAATAAAGCTTCTGCTTCTACTGGCATTGCAATATTTAGTTTTTCTGGTATGCATTTTGCAGTTTTAGAAAAAATACAGGACTTTTCAGCAGAAAACTTCAGTAACTCTATGTGGAAATAATTATTAATTCAAGAAGGATGAAGAGAGATTTTGTACTCGAGTGCATTTGCATTGAAAGTGTTTTTAAAAAGCTGAAAAAAGGAACGTCTCTCATTTAGTGTATCACTGAAAAAGGCCTGAATAGTTTTCTGCCTTGGATGGCGTTCAGATCTGGCTTTGCAGCGGTCACACAGAGTTTAGTAAACACATTAATTGCCTCGTGCAGTGGCAACAGTTGCAAGAAACTGCCGACAGAGTCCCTGTTTTTTGGTCAACAGCATCTTTTGTGTAGGCGAGACATTTCCACACAATTGACGTTGCGATACAAACCTTGTATCTCGGAAATAAAGTTAGAAAAACTATCCAGGAACCTTTAAATCAGAGTCCATGAGGTTCTGTCAGCCAGACTTTTGTTGTAGAGTCGTAGCTGGAAATGAGAACTGTACGAGGTTTCAGTTTGTAATCGACTGAAATTGTAGGGCGAAGTGAATGAAACAGGTATTTAGTAGCAAACTGTATTTTGTGCTCTCTGGGATGTTTTTGGATCAATTTGTGGAGTTGAAATTCATACAACACAAAGTACGTTGCCTGGTGTCTGTCTGTTAGTGTGTCTGCATGCAGTTCAGACTTTTGCCGTGTTGAAAGTGATCCAGAAATTTTACCAGGTCCGACCCAGGAGGATTGTCGTCACGACTTTTACAGAAAGGCGACCAGAATGCTCTTTCAGACGTGAAGCTGACATGTTACGTTGCCGCCAGATTAACAGAAAACCATGTCTGAAAGGGGCTTCTGTTAAATACCTGATGAAATTTGAAGGAGTGTTCTTTCAGTTCAGAGCAGCTCCAGTGGAGGTGTTATATGGTTTCACTAGAGAAGTCCGGTTGTGTATCAAAGGGCACCCATTCAGACATGATTTTACCTGAGGTGCTCACTGA